TTTCATCAGAGAGCACTCTCCATCTTACATGACCTAGCATTTATCTCATGTAGTCTATTCTTGGAAATACAGCAGCGATTTGCAATTAACAAATTTTCCTTGACAGTGGCATCTGCACACAGGAAAGGGCAAAATACTTCATAGTGAGCCAGATATGCTAACACTCCAATATGATGCCCACTAAATGTTTTTATTATTATTGCTGTTATTATTTTGTTTTCGCATTACAGGCTTAAAAATACTCCAAATTTAGTTTACTAGGAATAAATGCAGGACAGAGGAAAAGATGAGGCATTTATACAGCTATGCAGCTATGCATATGAATATAGCCAAAATTATCTTTATAGGGACATATGTAAATGTCAAAGAAGAATTATAGAATCCCCAGACTTGGAATTTAGTAACAACTTTTTAGTCCCTTACTAAAATTCGACACCTTAATTAGACTCTACTTTTGTCATGACAACATATGGAAAAAGAACTCAGTATCCTCCCAGAAGGATAATCAGAAAAAACATTTTGTCTTTGTAAGAAAAGTCCCCAGTCAATTGTGTGCACTCTTATGACTTAAATACATGTGAATTTAAAGTGAGAGAGAAATAAAGCTACTTGTTATAAAACATGTTCCTAAATAAGGGCACCTGGAAAATAATACGTGAAAATGAAAAGATTTTTTTCTTGCAAGCTGATTTTTCCCCACTTATATATTCGTAATGAGCGGCAGTCTAAAACTAAGCATTTTACCCTATGTTTACAGTCAATGAAGCAAAATGCAAATTTCTATGTATGGATGCAATGTGACAGATGTGATTTATCCCATTCCAACATAAAGGTCTAAAGTTACATGAAACGAAAATATTTACTTTAAAATGACATGAATAGTGCATTCATGGTATGAAATTTTGTCTGTTCATTGTGAAGGGAGTATGAGAGTGCCATACTTGATATATACCTAAATTATGGAAGCCTAAAGTCAGGTGGGGTGGACCCTGGCCTGTGTCTCAGGAATTGTGAGGATGCAAGATACCATTTCAAGTAGACATTTTGACAAATTGAATTGCCACATTATCTTCATACTGCCACACTTGTGACACAGCATGTAGGCATGTAGTTGGGTGCCTACATCTCTGTGTGTACTTAAGCTAATATGCTAACTTTTGCTGTGGATACAGATGGCACCTGAGCTCCAGGAGTGTGTCCCCTCAGACAGTTTCTGAAATAGGAAGAACTTTCCCAAGTTCTCCTTGCTTTGTTTCTTTGCTGAGGGAAGATCTAATGCTAAAAGAGTGTCTAGGAATGCTGGATTTGCTACTCACCACCTATATAAACTGGGCCTTGTATATTGTGCTGATGTCTCAGTAAGTGAAACTAAAGACTCCAGGCAGGAAACTATCCCAATATATATGATCTATATGAATATGATCTATAATCACCATGAAAATTCAGAAAGGTGACATTTCTCACATTAGAATATTGAAAATATTTTTGTTGAATATATCAAAATACTTTATTTGAGCTCGTCAAGTGTAACATGATACTTATTTTTAACTGAGCTATAAATGAAACTGATTTTTCTCATTAAGGTGCAACACCTGACTGGAGTTTGAGCTCAGTATAATATGTTTATTCTTCTATGTGATACTTCATCTTTCACAATACCCTAAGTAATTTAGCAGGAGTAAAGCAATATCTTTTCTTGATTCCACTCTAAAAAAAAAAAAGAAAAAGTATCTGAGGAATTCTTGAAAAAGCTTAAGTATGAATTTAAGTTTAATATTAATGGAAAGTTCTGCCTGGAGCAGAAAAGCTATGAGTAACTGAAAGAAGTTTTATTTTCATAAGTAATTTGTAGCTATACAGACAGACAAAGATGAAAATATTTTAATAGAACTCCTAAGAATAAAAATAATACTATTATTTCCTTTATAATTTTTTTTCTAAATTTCTGAATTCTAAAAAAAAGCAGCTTTAGAATAAAGATTTTTACAACATAATTACTACTTTGTCCTTATTGGGTAAAGCTTTAGAAATATAAAATTCAGAATACTTTCTTGTTTATGAAAGTGCATAATTATTATAAAGTTTATAAAATGAAATATTATGTATTTATTATTTTTTTACTGTTGTAAATTATTCCTACCTTGCAGAAATTGCAAACTACAACATTATACTACAACAACTTAGGAATGGAAAGTGGGATTATAAACCTGCTGTCTTTTTTCACTTAAAAAAAAAAACCCTTATTAAAATAATTTTTTCAAGGCTCTATTTTAAAACTAATTATATTAGTATAATTGCTATAACGCAATAAAACTAATTTGGTTTTCTTTTAATTATGGTACTTTTGCACTTCTACTAAAGATAAAAGTACTTTAATGAATATCAAAACATATAAATTACAGGTGAAGAACTTAGGGTAGTCCAAATATTTTTACTGATAAACAGGTTATGATACAAAGCAATGGCTAAATATCTGCACTGGTTTTCCAATACAGACCTATAAAGACTAGTAAAGAAAAAGAAAGTCATACAGGAAGAACTTTTTTAACTATGAAGAAAATATTGCTAAATATTGCTAAAAAGAATATAACTTAAAAAGTTGTCCACCGAATTCAAACTATAAGCATGTAATTGGATTTTATGAGTGAACACCTATGGCACTGCAAAGCCCTGGTGATTCTAGTGAGTGACTGGATGATTCCAGTGGTGATTTCCCTTGTTGAAACCTAAGTGCCTAAGAATTAGATTGCTAAAACACAAATATGCAAATTCAAAATTTTGTTCAATTTATTTCCTATGCATAAAAAAAGAGAGCCAATATATAAAATTAATATGGAACTGAGTATAATTTCTTGATTTTCTTGGGGCATTTTTTTCTCTATGCTATAGTCTTGACAAATCAAAAATTAAATTTCTCAGGTCATGACATAAAAATAGCTCATCTTTTCCTAGTCCAACTAATTAGATGAAAATGGACAGAGAGATCTGGCCATATAGCAAAATCTTGTCAAATTCTCTATGACTGAGACAAATTTATTCTGCAGCACAAATACATACACACACAATACGTACACAGAAGGTAATTCATCCTAGGATCTTAAGATCCCCTCTTTTAAACGGAATGACCGTTGGTGAGGAGCAATAAGACATTTATCAGCAGAGCTCCTTAAGAATGAATGTTTTATCAAAGACAGTCTCCATAACAAACAGAGAGGAAGAGATAAGAAACTCATTAGTGGGTAATCACCTTTTGCAACCTCCTACAGAATTCTGTGGGATAATTACATTAGGCGAAATTAGGACAAACCTATTAGAATGGAACCACAAAGATTTCTACATTAAAGGTAAAACTAGATGTTTTGACATCAAACAAGATTCATAGAAGGAACAATTGAAATTAATTAGTTATTTTTTTCTCATGGAATACAGACCAAAACAGGCCCCAGCAGAATCTGGTGTTCCGAGAACAATTATACTTGATTTAAAATTAATAGATAATGTTTCAATAATAAGTAATCATCACTATTAAAATGTGTGCCTTATTTTAAGCTTAAATTTGCTCAGCTTTTATTCTTTAAATTCGCTGGTGCTATTGGGGTAGATTAAGGAACTATATACTCTCAAAAGATATTTTCCCTCCATACTTGATTCTTCAGTTAATTAAGCCATTTTTTCATTTTCTTTCACATAAAATGAAAAGGTCAAGTTTCTTCAGTCCCGTAACAAAATTTCAGTCTTCAAAACTATTGTTTCATCTATTTCTGAGCCCTTTCCAAAAAATCAGCTTGGGTAGGTAGGTAGGAAGGTATTTCCAGTGATAACCATTTCCCATACAGAATTACTTTTTGTGAAACTGGCATGGGTGACAGAGCCCTGGAAGAAGTTGCCCAGAAAGGTTGTGGAGTCTCCTTCTTTGGAGATCTTCCAAAACCGCCTGGATGTGATCTTGTGCAACATGCTCTAGCTGCCCCTGCTTGAGCAGGGGGCTTGATGGTTTCTGGACTAGATGGACTAGATGTTCCCTCCAACCTCAACCATTCTGTGATTCTGTGATTCTGGCATGTCTGTTAATCAGGTTTTAGCACAACTGAACATCTGAACTATCTTTATTCATCTAGTTTTAATCAGAATTTTATTAAAAGTTATAATTTCCTTAGGAAAGTTTATGCAGCCTATGTAAGACTGCAACAAATATTTTAGTTAGACAAAACTAACCATTCCATTCTATTGAGTTAACTTGTGATTGATTTTGTGGGAATATCTCAAGGTTGCCTGACATAATTCTGTTGCTTCAAAATGTCTGTTAAGTGTATAATATTTGGTTATATATAATATATTTACTCCATTATATTACTTGAGCTCCTTGCATTACTTTACAACCATTAAGTATTTCTTTCTGAAAACCTCATAAAACAAACTTTGTCCATAAAGCAGAATTCCTTGTTTCCTCTATAATTCTAACTTGAGAAAGGGAGAAGGATTTGACCTACAATGCTATTTGCTAAAGCACAAGGAATACCTTGTGAAGAATTTTAAAATAATCAGATCTGACAGAGGAAAGCTAAGCTCAATGTCTGAGTGATTTCAAGCTTCTGTTTGGCATGATTAGTTCTATATCCCAGTTAATATTTGACAAAATCTCATCCCTAAGGAAGTATTAATAGATCCCAAATTTGTATTTTCTTAGTTGTAGTCATATTCAACCATGCTGAACACATATATTCATAATTTACTCATTACTAGTTTTTTAGTTATGTAAATCTGATTACATATATTTAAAAATAAATCAGAAATAGAATTTTAATAGGATATTGACTAGAAAATTTTCAGGTGCATATACTGAAATGCATATATATGAGTAAGATGTCAAAATATTCCCAAAGGCTTTTGTTTCTATAATCACAGTCTAAAAGTTAATAATTTAAACAGAGATTATAAATTGCTCAGATGAATAAATATAATGAATTTATTTTAAAAGCTTATTGTAGCATTTATCTTACCTCGACAAATAGGAACTGGGAAGTCCCATGATGCTGTATTCACAGAGTTAGCTATGCAGGTAAGCTGAGGATGGCCATCCAAAATGTATCCAGTTACACAGCTGTATCGGATTTTGTCTCCAACATCAAATCTTGTACCATACAAGATACCCTTTGGTGGAACTCCAGGATTACCACAAGAGCTGCTCTGTAATTCTGGAAAAGACAAATTAATTATTACTTATAATATTTTTATAATTCAATGCCATATTGTGCTGAAGAATAGAGAAATTGCAAATTCTGATAATAAAGGTAGGTAATGTATTTTCATGTATATTAACACAGCTCTCAACACTGAAAAAAACAGTACTGACTTAGCCTATTCAGCTGTGTATCTACATATGCACAAGGAAATATAATCCAAAAAAGAACACCAGATTTTCCTTAAACCACAGCTAGAAATACATTTGTGTATTTTTCTCAATCAGTACAAAAGAAGTGATTAGAAAGGAAGGGGACATGAAGGAAGTTGATATATTTGTTATTGTGAGTTGAGGCAACATAGTAAACAAAACTGCATAGAAGAATAGCAGGTTTGAATCAAGGAAAATTTGGAAGAATGAACAAAAATAGTTAGTACAGAATACTGGAGGAAGACATTAAAGAGCATAAATATAAATCTGATTAGGAATCTGATGAATGATTTGATAGTTTCTAGATGATGGGACAAAAGTGATGAGGTACAACAAGCAGCTGAATTACAATTCGGTTTAAAAGTAGGGGATCTAAGAAATGCTGGATATTTGGGCAACTCCTACTCCGATGTGGAGCTCTCGACCACACAGAAGCACCAAAGAGCACCGGCTCTGCTGCGGGTTTTGTCCTTGAGGAGATGAATCAGTGTTGAAATTTGCTAGTGAATGCCCACATGCCAACTGTTTGCCCTTTTTTCAACAGCATCAATAGCTTGACTATAAAACTTACTGTTGGGGAAACTTTTTAGTTATGGACATAAAAACAGAGAATTCGCACAAGTGTGGACAAACAGAGATTCCATAACATCACCATGAATTCTTCAAAACTCCTATCAAGTATACTTGCTTGCATAGTGCTAATAAGAAGCAAATCAAGTGAAACTGTATTTGGATGCACAGCAATTTCTCTAATCTACAGAAGTAAGGAAACAAGACAATAGCACAAAGAACAGAAGTGTTGTATGTATTATCTTTTTTTCTTTTTCTGTTCCTTTTAACTAAATTATTCCTCTCCATCCTTGATGTGTGCATGCACACATGTACTTAATACATATTAAATACACATAAATATACTATTAAAACCAAATAAAAATGTTATGATAGATTTCAATTTCAAATTATGATAGATTTCAAAAAGGCAAAAAAGAATATCAAAGCAATCAGTGTAGCTCATGAAATATGTTATGGTTTCAAACTACCATGACAAGAACTACCACATACTGGACTTCTGACACCAGATATGAAAAAAAAAAAAAAAGGTATTATCAAAAAGATATATATATTTTTACATAATAAACTACCTGGAATTGGGTACACAAGGATATACAAGTAAGAAAAAAGCCTGTTTCATACAGGTCATTTGGAGCCTTATCAAATTTGTTTGTATTCTTAATGTTGCTTTATCAAGCTATGTGTTTTGTCCTCCAGCAAAACTCTCTTTGTTCTCAGATGTGTTTGCAGGTGTGAGGAGACAGTATTGCAGTTGATTACTGCATATTTTGTCCAGAAGAATGAGCCCTTTTAAGCTTTTCAAGGCCATTCTAGCTTTCTGCACTATCACATAATGTCAAATTAGAACTAAGAATATCTTCCTGTAATATTTGGTTATCTTATATGTCATTAATAATATTATATTAACTTGAAAAACTTGAAAAGTCTGTGTGTACACAGTATTTTTATTTTGTGCTTCTCCGAGATTATATCTTTCAGAAGGCTACATTTCCTAAGTGCTCTATAAAAAGGTCACAGAATGATTCCTTGTCCTTTAAAATGTAGGATATAATGCTTAGCGATGTCTTTAATAGCAACTGCCTAAAATTGCTTGCTTTATTCGTAGTGCTGTCTCATCAAATATTACCTCAGAAGGTGCTTATGAAAAAATAATATATTTTAAAGCATTAATTCTGAAACCCTCTCTTTCTGAAATGTAACTCATTTTCCAGTTACACTATATGACTCTTCTACAGAAATTACTTGTCCTTTTCCATTAACATTTTAATATTAAGAAAGTGTTTTATAAGCAAGTTATTAGTTAAAACCTTCAAACTACTTTGTTCTTAATTCTACATAATAAAATAATTGTGTAATTTAAAATACATTTGTTATTTTTGTAGGCATTTTCATTTAGAACAAATACATTATTGTTTTGGGATAATTCACCTAGTAACTGCATTAGTCTTGTCTTCTTTGACAAGTAGCATCTATCTTTGAATCTATAAACTACGCTTCATTATAAACCTCTGGTGGCTGTAATTAGTCACCCCTTCAGCCCCTTCAAACACTTCTTATGGCTGAAAATATACGAAAATATCAACAATTATGATCGGCAAAATAAACAATATTCATTTTATTTCACTGCCTCTCTGAGATAACAGTTCACTCCCAACTAACTTCCTGACATTTAAAGATAAGGATTGCTTCCTTGAGTTTGCCATCTGTCAAGAAACACAGGAATTGCCCGGAATGATCATAATCTTGCTCAGCTTTGCCCAAAGTCTTGACTTTAATGACATCCTGATAGTCGGCAAATGATACAAAGTGTGAAAAAGTATTTCCTTTTACAGTTGTCACACTGTAATTTGATTGGACTTTTCCTTGTTCATATACCCTGAAAACAGACATAACTGAAAGTTTTATACTACCCTACTTCTTACATTTTTGTTGTGTCTCCTTATTCATCTCGTTTTGAAAGTAAACTGTCCCAATTGTTTCAATCACTGTCCAGGTGAGAATTTTCTTTGTCCCAGATATATTTGCCATTTATCTCTGAAATTCTTCCAGCTCAACTAGAACAGACCAAATGAAAAAAAATGCAGCTTGTAAAGAATTCTCAAATTTTATTTCAGTTTAAATTAGGACAAAATCTGATGCTTGTTTGATTTCCTATTAATAGCCTAATAAGAAGGCCAAAACTTGTTTTGAAACAGCAGATTGTCTTTTCTGAAGAACGTATTTTTTTGCAATGTCATAGTTGCTGATTAGAATTGGAGGCCTTGGGTTTCTTTGTTTAAGATAGTCTGTAGCACTGAACAACTCATTTGCTAGGTTGTGATTATGTGGTTATGTCTAAACTCTAAAAGAATTACTCTAGAAACTTAGATTCAGCTGTGGAGCCAAGGCTTCAAACTCCATTCAAGTTCTCCAACTCTCCAACAGCACAGTTCCCAGAGCTTCCAGACTCTCACCCATATGAGAAGGAAGAAAAACAGTAGAGATCTGCAAAGCTTGGAAGCAAGAGGTCTCTAGAATCTGAAAGGGTTTCTATTAAATGCAAAAAATCTTATGAATCCAAAATTATGAAAAAAAAATCTACTTAGAAAATGGACTCTTTTTGACAAAAAAAATAGAGATTTTCTCAACCATCTTAATTTCCTTCAGGCTTAAATTCCTTTATTTCATTTTTCAGGAAATAATAGGAATAATGGACTGTCTTTAAATATATATTCCATGTAAAGGAAAACTAAAATCTACATATTCAATTGCATTCAAGCCACAGGAGAGAAAGAAAATATAGCCTACAGCAAATACAGCAAATTTTGGCAGCTATATAAAATCAAAAGCATTTTTATTATATTGTGGTATATTTAAATATAGAGAATATTGATTTAAAATTGTATATCAAAAACATTTTCAAAGAACATATTGTTATGGCATGTAGACTTTTAGCACAGAAGCACAGCTTGAATCACATGACACACCTCCTTTGAAAAATTCCACTTTGCTTTCCTATACTAAATTGAAACATTTGTGAGTTCCATTAAGGCAACAAACCTCTTCAGAAGCCTTTCTTATTAAACTTCACCACACAATGAAATCCAAATTTAAAATATAATTAAATATAAAGAAATATAACATGAAAAAGAGAAAATGATGGAGAGAAAAACTAATAACTATAGAAATAACTAATATTCTGAATAAAAATAATCAAAAACATTATTTATACGTACTTTTGGTTTCAAATTAAATATTTTATCTTTTAGATAAATTATACAAAAATTCTCCTTCATTATGCAAACATTAACAAAAGAACATTGTTAAAAGTCTCTCCCTATATGGAGAGACTGAGGGAGCTGGGCCTGTTCAGCCTGGAGAAGAGAAGGCTGAGAGGGGATCTAATCAGTGTCTAGAAGTACCTCAAGGGAGGGAGGAAAGCGGATGAGGTTGGCCTCTTTTCAGTGGTGGCCACCAACAGAACTAGAGGTAATGGCCACTGAAACACCAAAAGTTCCACAGGAACTTAAGGAAAAATTTCTCAACAGTGAGGGTGACAGAGCACTGGAACAGGCTGCCCAGAGAGGTTGTGGAGTCTGCCTCTCTTGGGATCTTCAAAGCCCGCTTGGACATGGTCCTGTGCCACGTGCTCTAGGTGACCCTGAGTGTGCAGGGGGGTTGGACTAGATGATCTCCAGAGGTCCCTTCCAACCTTAACAATTCTATGATTCTAACATTTACTTTATTTGCCTGTGCACGCCACAATACTGAGAGGAAACCCTATTCAATAGGCAATAAATGTCATTCAGCTCAACTCCCTCAACACAAATGTGAGCCTTGTAACATTTTTCAAAAATCTGGTTTATTTTTTAGAAATCTCACTTATGTTGAACTAACAGACAAATAAGGATGCAATTTTTAGATGGTACCTTTCATCAATATTTATCCAAGATCGCCAAATAGAAACCATGACAGTAATGATGTCTTAGTATGAGCTCTAAAATTTCAGATTTTAAATTCAAGTTTATAATTTCTAGACAGTTTAAAGCTAACTCATTTATGCTCACATTAGCTGGAGAAATATACATTCATGTGGATACAGGCATATACATTGTTTACTTCAGCAACACCAAAACACCTTTTGAAATTGATGTTCGACTTGAAAGACAGCTACAATTTTTGTTTTTGTCCTCTAATTTTTTACTTGATGATATAACACTAAGATCAAAATATCCTTCAGTGCTTCTCAAA